CGTACCTCTACCCTTCGCCCGTTTTCCTTTTCCCCTTTATGGGCTTCCTGGCGGGCCCTCGTCGCCACCGCTGCATTCGCCTCGAGGTTCTGGTCAGAGCGCACCCCGCGAGAGGTCCGGGGAGGAGCAGGATCGGTACCTTTCGGTTTCCCCAACAACTCTCCCTCTGTCTCTCTCCGTCTGTCTGCGTCCCCATGCCAGACGCTTCGCTTAACCCCACCGGCCCATCCAGAAACGATGCCCAGGCGAGTTGCCCTGATCGGGGATATGGGTGGAATAAGGGGCTGGGGAAGACGTCATACCTCAAGAGGGGGAGGATGGACAAGTAATCGGAGGAGGATGAGAAGGAGGGGGAGGAGGAGGGGGAAGGAGGAGGAGGAGGAGGAGGGAGGAGGAGGAGAAGAATAGGCTGATGATGATGCTGCTGCTGATGATGATGCTGATGATGCTGATGATGATGGTGATGATGATAATGCTGATGCTGATGATGATGGTGATGATGATACTGATGGTGGTGATGGTGATGGTGATGGTGATGATGATAATGCTGATGCTGATGCTGATGCTGATGCTGCTGCTGATTATGCTGATGATGATGATGCTGATGCTGATGCTGCTGCTGATGATGCTGCTGATGATGATGCTGCTGCTGATGATGATGATGATGAGGATGCTGCTGCTGCTGCTGATGATGATGATGATGATGATGATGATGATGATGATGATGAGGATGAGGATGAGGATGAGGATGCTGATGCTGATGCTGATGCTGATGCTGATGATGATGATGATGATGATGATGATGATGATGATGATGATGATGATGATGCTGATGATGATGCTGATGCTGACGGGAAGGAGGAGGAGGAGGAGGAGGAGGAGGAGGAGGAGGAGGAGGAGGAGGAGGAGGCGGTGGAAAGCAAGCCCACCACCTGCGGGACGTCCTTCTGTCCTCGGTCCGGCTGCAGTCCCAGCGTGGCCTCACCGGGCCCCCCCCCCCGAGCAGTCTCCGGCGGCCTCGGCGCCCTGGCGCCGCCGGCGGCGGCGGCCCTGGAGCGCTCCGGGGGGCAGCCCGATGGCCCCCGCCCCCTCGGAGCCGCAGCGAACGCCGCGTCCACGGCCTGCTCTCCGTCCCCTGACCTTCCAGGAGGGCAGAAAAATAGCACCCGACCTAAAAACCTATCCCAGAGCTATTCTACGTCTTGGTTTTAGGCTGTTTCGTTTAGTTTTTTCGGTTTTTAGGCCTCCAGTGCTAAAAAAAATAGCTCTCTGGAAGGTCAGGGTCCGTGTAGCTTGGGCGCCGCGTGGCCTTGGGATCCTGGCGGCTCCATTTTTTCGAGCCGGGCGTTTCTTCGCCTCTTTTCGGGTCCCGGGGCCCTCACAGATCGATCCGGCTCGAGAAATGACGCAGAAAGATGGGGTCCGGGGCTCCGGGCGCGGATTTCCATGGTGTTGCAGTTTTTTCGTGACGTCGGATCTCAGGGAACGGTGGGGGCCTTCCGAGAGGTGCACCTGTCTCCCCCCGCTCCCATTTTGTCGCCCCCCCCCCTGAAGCGACGCCCCTAGCTCCGGGCTGCCGACTGTCCCCCCGAGAGCCGCAGCGAGCGCCGCGTGCCCGGCCTGCACACTCCGTCCGTGCAGTTGTTGGGCCTTGCGTACCCAGAGATCCGATGTCGTGATTTTTTTCAATGCTCGGTCCCTGGAAGTCTCGACCCGTTCCTCAGGACCGGTTTTTCATCCTGGGTCGTTTTTTGACGGTCCCGAGGCCCAGCGAGGGCCCCTAGGGGCCGGAATTAGCGAAAAACCTCCGCCTTGATTTTTTCAATACGGTAGATCTCTGGGTAAGACGAGCGTGCTGCCCCCCCCCCGCGGCAGGAGATGGTGCAGCTCCTGCTCGCCTTCGGAGCGGACTCGACCAAGAAAGACGTCCGTGGCGCCCCCCGCGCTCGGCGCTCCCCGCAGTACTACAAAAGGGGGAGGAGGAGGAGGAGGAGGAGGAGGAGGAGGAGGAGGAGGAGGAGGAGGAGGAGGAAGGAGAGAGGAGGAGGAGGAGGGGAGGAGAGGAGGAGGAGGAGGACGAGGACGAGGAGAGGAGGAGGAGGAGGAGGAGGAGGAGGAGGGACCGAGGGAGGAGGAGGAGGAGGAGGAGGAGGAGGAGAGGAGGAGGGGAGGAGGAGGAGGAGGAGGAGGACGAGGAGGAGATGAGGAGGAGGAGAAGGAGGAGGAGGGGGGAGGCGGCGAGGGGAGGAGGAGGAGGGGACGAGGGGGAGGTGGAGGAGGAGGAGGAGGAGGAGGAGGGAGGAGGAGAGGAGGAGGAGGAGGAGGTGGAGGAGGTGAAGGAGGACCAGGAGCAAGGAAACCATAATCAAGAGGCCATTTTTTGAGCACGTGCCTACCTACTCAATGTCAGGCAAGCCCTAATTAGTTGGAGGGGGATGCAGATGGGGCGAAGGAAGATAGGGAGTGGGAGGAGGAGGAGGAGGAGGAGGAGGAGGAGGAGGAGGAGGAGGAGGAGGACGAGGAGGAGGAGGAGAGGAGGAGGTAGGAGGAGGAGAGGAGGGAGGAGTATAAGGCGATACGGAGGAGGAGGGAGGAGGAGGCGGAGGAGGAGGAGGAGGAGGAGGAGGAGGAGGAGGAGGAGGAGGAGGAGGAGGAGGAGGAGTGGAGGAGAGGAGGAGGCGAGGAGGAGGAGGAGGAGGAGGAGGAGGAGGAGGAGGAGGAGGAGGAGGAGGAGGAGGAGGAAGAGGAGGACATCTCCAGCCAAGCGGCCATTCGTGGAGCTCTCCTGGGCGATCTTGGAGCCGTCTTGCGGCCTCAGCAGCCCATCGGAAGCGATCAGGCGAGAAGGCACACGGTCGAGCATCTGATTAAGAGCTCTCCTCCCGAAAGGCCGGGCCAGCGTTTCGTAACCAGCTTGCTGGAAAACCGGCCCAGCTTCTTTGGCACGTTCGCCCCTCTTGCGTTAGCAACCGACATCTGCCTAGGCTTGTTTTAAGAAGAATCTTCGGGGACGCTGGCCCAGATTTCTTGATTGCGTGTTTTTTTCTTGATTCCATTTTCATGCTTTTTCGGCCGTAAGTCATACAATTGGTGGCCTTCGCCCCATTCCGCCCGCCACTGTGCCTGGGTTGTGGGTCAGAGTCCTCATGGGTGCTTCGGCTCTCGGTGGTCTCTGCGGGGCAGTTGTGTCGCCTCTTGGTGGCCTCTTGGGCGCCTCATCTCTGGGGGCCTCATCTCTGGGGGCCTCTTGGGAGCCTCTTGTGGACATCTTGGCTCCTCCTGGGGGCCTCTTGGGGCAGAGAACCCGAAATGTCGGTTTGTGTTCCCCCTTCTTGGATCCCTCTCGTGGCGGACATTGGGCCCTCTTGAGCTATCTTGAAGGCCTCTTCGGCCGTCTCGCAGCCTCTTCGGCCATCTCGGCACCCTCTGGGGGGCCTCTTGCACCGTATTGGGATGATCATGGGAACAGCTTCGGCCGTCTTGGAGCGTCGGGAACCTGAAAAGGCTGAAACGCAAACCTCCTTGAACAACCAAAGACACTGACTGAATGTTACATTTTTGCGCCCTCTTGGGGGTCCTCTTGGAACACTCTTAGGCAGTCTTGGGGGCCTCTTGGTTCGTCTTGGAGCCATCTTGAGCGTTTCGGACCGCTCTCGGGCTGTCTTGGGGGGAGGGAGGGCAGGGCAGGGCGAGAGGGAGGGAGGGAGGGAGGCATGGAAAAGGATGAAAGAGGGATGGGGGGATATCGACCTCTCCAAACACCGAGCACGATCGACCTCCTCGAAGACGAGCGCGCTCGACCTTTCAGGCGTTTTCGCAGGACGCATAATCCATGTTGGCCGTTGCATCTCGACATTGGGGTCTTCTGGTGGTCCGGCTGCCCCCTCTGCCGTCCGAAGCACGCGTTCCTTAGCGGCTCGACATGCAGCGTTTGGCCTCTACTACTACGTCACCGTTGCGCTGCCTCGCGGTGAGATGCGACGAAAGTGGATGCGCGCGGTGCCAGCAATGGCGCTTCCGAAGCCTCTCGAGTCGCGGCGGACCGTGGCTTCGAGCGGAGCCCGCAGTGGCTCGTCCTGAGGCCGGGCGGGGGGGCCTGCTTGACACAGTCATGCGCGCGCGGGTCCTGCGGTGGAAGTCGAGGGCGGCGACGTGTTTCGGGCCAAGTCGCATATCATATTCTGCCCTCTGCCCTCTGACCTGGGAGGAGGCTCAGCTCTGCCCTTCCGCTTCGGCCCCCCCCCACGGAGCCTCCAAGGCAGGCCCCAGTGGGCGCAGGCGCACCGCGCAAACGAGGCAGTGCCACCCGAACGTTTGACCCGCGGTGGCTCCCTGGACCCTCCGAGCTACCCCCCCGCCCCCCCTTGCGCGTTTCGCTCTTCCTGGGGGGAGGCACGGCTTCGACCCCAGCAGGCGCAGCCGCGTCGCAATACACGGCAAACGCTGCAATCCAGAGGGAGAGGTTGATCCACGCGCTGCTCCTGATGGCCCACCCAGCGTGCCCCTCTCTCTCTCTCTCTTCCCTCCGGGGAGTCCGAGCTTGGGGCCCGTCGGGACGCGGCAGCATGCTCGGGACACGCCAATCGGAAAGTTTGTGACCCGCAGTCAACCCGCACAGTAGGGGTGAGCAACTTTTCAAGGTTGTCCTTGCATGCTTCCCTTGCGGCCCATCCTGGGGCCGCCTGTGCTGGCCGCGCCCCGCTCGGAAAGGGTCGACATGGTCCTCCAAGGCCCTTGCATCCTTATCGAGCATCCTTATTGTGCGGTTTGACTGTGTGGGCTGTGCGCTCACACCCCGAGTGGTCCATGCCTCACGCAGTGTGCTGTCCGGACTCGCGTGCGGGCCTTGACAGAGAAGAGCAGCAACGAACAACGGTCGCTCTCGCCTCGGCACTGGCATCTCGTCCTCGCGTTGTCTTGTGAAGAGCCGAAGTCCTCACCATCGTCGTCGCCCTCGTCAGCGATGACGCCCCGCCGCTCTGCGGCCGTCGTCTTGGCTCAGGCCCGGTGGCGCGAAGGGCACGCTCGGCGGGAGGTGAGGAGCGATGCGGTAGTCTGTTCGGGCGGCCGCCGACGATGCAGGTCACCCAGCTGAATGACGTCAAGGTGTACAACCTGTCGGCGGGGAAATCGTTGCCACAGTTCCTCGAGGAGGCCCAGAAAAAGAAGCAGTCCCTGAGGTACGATCAGGACTTCAGGAGGCGCATCGACCTCATCCAGGACTTCGAGTTCAACGTCGCTTCCAACCGCGTCCGCGTCTCTCCGAACGGCGAGTACATCGCTGCGGCTGGCATCTACGCTCCAGAGGTGAAGATCTTCGAGACCCGGGAGCTGGGCCTGAAGTGTTCCCGAGGTCTCAACTCGGAGGTGGTAGACTTCCTCTTCCTCTCGGAAGATCTGATGGGCTTCGCCTTCCGCCGCCAGCCCCCCCCCCACTCTTAGATTCGTGGCTTGGGGCTTTGGCCGTCGGATTGGAACGTCTTTTCGGGGAGATCTTGGGGCCTCCTTTGACCCGTGGTCCTTTTGGGCCATCCTGAGATCATCTCATGGCACCCTGTGTCCATCTGAATGCCGCCTTGTTGCGGACCGCTTGAATCGGTATTGGGCCATATCGAGCAATCACAGGGCCAGGCCAACGTGCACCCCCGGGGGGGCGGCATTTGTGTATTTCTCGAGGTAATCGTTGTGTGCAGTTTGAGGCCATCTTGGGGCCATCTCGAAGCACCGTGTAGCCCTCTTAAGGCCACCTAGAGACTGCCGTGGAACATCTCGAATCAGTCTTGGCCTGCACTGGGCGACCTGAGGGTTAACTTGGACTCTCAAGAGGCCCTCTTGGGGCCATCCAGGGGCCACCTTGGAGCCATCCGTGGGCCTCGTTGGGCCGCCTCTGTCGATGTCTTGGGGGTCTCTCGGGGCAAGCTTGGGGCCGTCTCGGACAAACTGGGGGCCATCTTGGGACCTCTGATGTCCGTGTCGTCGTCGTCGTCGTCGTCGTCGTCGTCGTCGTCGTCGTCGTCGTCGTCGTCGTCGTCGTCGTCGGCGAAGTCGTCGTCGTCGTCGTCGTCGTCGTCGTCGTCGTCGTCGTCGTCGTCGTCGTCGTCGTCGTCGAAGGCGAAGGCGAAGGCGAAGGCGAAGTCGTCGTCGTGCCTGTACCATCTTGGGGTCTCTTGGAGTCCGAACGCTGGCAGGCAAGCACGGCTAACGGCAGCACTGCTCTTTGCCGTTTTTTGCTCTCCGGGGAGGCCTTCCCGGACGGAGGCCGCGCTCGGCGGGCTCGACGACCCTCTGCGGCGTCTTCGGGGGCACCTTTTGGCGATCTCGGGCACCGCAGAGACTTCAAGAGCACATATCTATGAGGTACAACCGGGCCGTTGAAGAAGGAACTCGTTTCGTTGGGGAGGGGCTCGGTTTTCCTCCATTCGGTGTACAGCTGTTCTTAGGTGTTCTATGGGGAGTCGGAGTTTCGCTTCTGGAGACAAGGGGCCTCGTTCCTCATTTGGGGTTCCTTCTGACAGCGCTTCGACTGCACCTTGGAGCTGGCCTGCGCAGGCGGGGCGCCGTCGAAAGGGCAGTCGAAAAGGGCAGGCGAGGGGCGGGTGTGCTGGCTCTTGCTGCTCATAAGGTGGGCGGGGGCAGGCGGCCTCCTCGGCCTCCTCCTCCTCCTCCTCCTCCTCCTCCTCCTCCTCCTCCCCATTGTCATCCTCCTCCTCCGCCTCCTCCTCCTCCTCGTCCTCCTCCTCCCCCTCCTCCTCCTCCTCCTCCTCCTCCTCCCCCTCCTCTCCTCCTCCTCCTCCTCCTCCTCCTCCTCCTCCTCCTCCTCCTCCTCCTCCTCCCGCCTCCTCCCCATGTCATCCTCTCCTCCTCCTCCTCCTCCTCGTCTTTCTCTTCCGCCTCCTCGTCCTCCTCTTCCTCCTCCTCCTCGTGCTCCTGCTCCTGGTCCTGCTCCTGCTCCTGCTCCTCCTCCTCCTCCTCCTCATTGTAGTATCACTCGGGGGCGAAGAAGATACGCCATTGATGGCGTATCTTCTCTTCGCGGCCGCGTGCGGTTTCGCGCTCAGCAGGGCCAGTGAGCAGCTGCCGAGGAGCACGCAGCAGTGACAGCGACCAGGCACCGAGCAATCTGCCGGAAGCGCGTACACACGTCTTACCGGATGGCAGAGCTTGGCCTCTCGTCGTCGGTGTCGTCGTAGTGGTGGTGTTGGTCGTGGTCGTCGTCGTCGTCGCCGCCGTCGTTGTCGTCGTCTTCCTGCCCTTTCTCCTCCTTCTCGCTGAATCATCACGCGCCATTCCGCACGAGCGCGCGCCTAGGAGTTCGATGCCCACGTCCATGTTGCTGGATCTCGTTGCTATACTCGGTGCCTTACACCTCCGATGCCTTGACTGCTTTTGCAGCGCGGCGATGCTTCGGCTGGCTGACACCTCTGCTGCTTATTCGAGGCGCGAGAGGTGGTTGATAATGCCGCCGTCACCGAAGAGAGTGTCATCCTGTATCGCAAGCACCCGCTGTGGAGGACCGCGTCCACTGTGCAGTTGATTCGCAATTTCGGCTCTTTCCTAGATATTCCCAGGTCCCGTCACAGGCCCATATTGGCAGGTGTGTGTATGTGTGTGTGTGTGTGTGTGTTGATGGTTCTTAAGGCGGATTGGCGAGGCCGCTCTCTGTTCTTTCTCCATTTAGTTCGCTCAGGGGCCCTTGTGACAGCCGGCGCTCCTCCAGGAGGTTCCGAGAGTCCGCCCCGAAGAAGAAACAACACCCCAAACATTAACGTTTATGTTTTTTGCTTGTTTTGTTTTGTTTTGTTTTGTTGTGTGTGTGTGTGTGTGTGTGTGTGTGTGTGTGTGTGTGTTTTCTGCATATGTATATATATATTTAGAGAGAGAGTAACACATATATCATCATTTGTGTGTGTGTGTGTGTGTGTGTGTGTGTGTGTGTGTGTGTGTGTGTGTGTGTGTGTGTGTGTGTTTTCTGCACATATATATATAGAGAGTAACACATAAATCATATATATATATATACATATATATACACGTATGTGTAAAAAACATGTGTTTTCTTCTGCCACTTGGTCCTTGCGATCCTGTCGCTGGGCCTCGGAGGGGGCGGCTCTCTCCGCCGGACCTCTGCGGCCCTGCCTCCGAGGACCCCGCCCCCCACCGCCCACCAAGCCACCCCAACCAGGAGGGAACAAAAACACACAGACACAATTCATCGTCGATTCCCCAGAGAATATGGGAAAATACGGGAAGTGGGGGGAAGACAGAGACCCAGAAAATGTGGGAAAATACGGGGAATCCTTTTTTTTATTTGTGTGTATTTAGTTGTGTGTCCTTGGGCCCCTCGAAAACCACCCCAGCCCAACCCGAAGGCTCAGATTTACCCTCGATTTCCAGTGGGCTCGGCATCGATTTCCAGTGGGCTCGGCATCGCTCGGACGTGTGCACTTTTCCTTCGGCGGGGACCATCGAGGAGCATCCTTGATCATGGGCGAAGAAGCCGCGCACGAGACCGAACAAAAAACACAGGGAATGGACGTCCGAGCGATGGCCAGACCACCCCAACCCAACCCGAAGGCTCAGATCTGCCCTCGATTTCCAGTGGGGGGGGGGTCGGGAAGCATCGAGCAAAACACATGTGGAAGCCTTGTCCCCCCCCCCCAACCCGAACTTCGGGTCTTCGGGCTGGGTTGGGGTGGTCTGGTAGGTACAGTCGGGGCCCTGAAGAAGGAACCCTTTTCGTAGGGGAGGGGCTCCGCGTTCCGTAAGTGTTTCGCAGCTTGCCTCAGGTTTTCCTTATGTTTTCGATCGGAAATCGAAGTTTAACTCATGGAAAAAAGGGGCCTCGTTCCTTATTTTGGGTGCCTTAGGTCCAGGCCCCGACTGCAGTCAATCCCCGCCTCCGCCCGAGAGACGCCCCTCCCTTCTCCCGCAGGCTCCGCCCCTCGCCGGAGCCCTGCTCGCCCGCGCGGGAGCCTGCCCGTCGAGGCCCTCGCGCTGGTCGCTCCGTGTCGGGCCGTGGCGAAGCGTGCAGGCTCGCCCGTGGGCCCGCCAGACCCACACCCCCGACGTCGTGATTTTTTCACAACGTCGACCCCCAGAGGTCTGGACCCCTTCCCCGGGACCGGCTTTCCACCCTGAGTCGTTTTTTGACGCTCCCGAGGCCCGGCGAGGGCCCCCAGAGGCCGAAAACTAGGAGAAACCTCCCGCCATGATTTTTTCATTACTCGATAGGGTCTGGGGCCAGAGACTGCTCTGAGAAGCTTTTGTGCTCTGCGCGAACGGTTCTCGGAACCCGACCGCCGCGCCGCCGCCACGGCACGCCGCGCCTCCCCCGCGCCTCCTCCCTGCCGCCGGGCAGGGGCTCGGCGTGCGCGTGCGCGCGGCCCCGCCGCGTTGCCGTGGAGGGCTCGGCGTGCGCGCTGCTCTGCGCCGCTCGTGCTGCTCGTCGTCGTCGTCGTCGTCGTCGTCGTCGTCGTCGTCGTCGTCCTCTGTGAGGGCGGCGGCCACGACTGACGCCGGAGTCGCGCGCGCGCCGTGGCGCGGTCGTGCGCCTGCGCTGGGCTTCGTGTGTGCATCTGCGCATGTGTGCATGCATGCTTGCGTGCAGGCAGGCATGTATGCGTTCATGCACGCAGGTCTGTATGGCTGTAGTCCTATCTGTCTGTATGTATGCATGTCTGCATGCCTGTATGCCTGTATGCCTGTATGTATGTATGTATGTATGCCTGTCGGTCTGTCTGTATGCGTGTATGTATGCAAACATGTATATCTATGTATGTATGTAGGTAGGTCGGTAGGTAGGTAGGTAGGAAAGCTTGCATCATGCATGTACGTATGTGTGTATGCATGTATGGATGTATGTACGTATTAATGTGTGTAGTTCGATATTTTAGGTAATGTAGACAATATGCGTGCGTGTGTTTATGTATGTATGTGTGTATGTATGCATGCATGTACGTTTGTATGGATGTATGGACACATGTATGCATGTATGTATTTATTTTTGGTATGTATTCATGCATGTGTGTGTGGGCATGTCTGTCTGTCTGTCTGAATCTATGCCTGGCTGTCTGTCTGTATGCATGCATGTAAGGTACTGTGCTGTATTATTATGTGCTGTAGCGTAGTGTAATGTAACGTGATGGAATCGAGTGTACTGTATTGCAACGCCATGCAATGTAATGTAGTGCCGCCTAATGTAATGTAATGTATTGTGTTGAAATGTACCGTATGTATGTATGTATGTATGTATGCATGCATGCATGCATGCATGTATGTATGTATGTATGTATGTATGTATGTATGTATGTATGTGTGTAGGTGTGTAGGTATGCGTATGTGCATGTGTGGGTAGGTATGTGTATGTGTATGCGCAGGTGTTTGTGTATGTGTATGCGTATGTGTAGGTGTATGTGTATGTGCATGTGTATGTGCATGTGCATGAGCATGTGTACGTGTACATGCATGTATGTATGCATGCATGTAGGTATGAGTGTTTACATATGCATTTATTTATGTATGCATTTATGTACGTATGGACTTACGTACGTCTGTGTCCATATCTGCATGTACGTATATATGCATGCATGATTCGTATTTATGTATGTATGTATGTACGTACGTGGGTCTGCACTTTCGTACGTACGTGCGTACGTACGTATGTATGTATGGATGTGCATACACATTCCTTTGCGAATCTTCTGATGTCGGACCTCCCCTTCTTTGACCCCCCCCGAAGATAATTTCCCCCCTCGGCGCTGAGAGCGGCTCAAGAGGGCCCAAGGCGGCCCAAGACGGACCGAAGACAAACCCATAAAGCCCGAGGAGGCTTCACGAGGACTCGAAGAGGTCCCCAAGTCGGCCAAGATGGGCCCAAGATGGCCCAAGATGGGCTCAAGATGTCCAGTCGACTACCCAACGGCCTTCCAAGACGGTCCAAGAAGGCTCCAATAAAGCTCCCACAAAGCCCCATGCGCGCATTCGGTTCCGGTAGCATTTCATCATGCGCTGCTTCTCGGCCTCCAGAGCCCGAAACGTCCGAGAACACCCCCCAAATCGATCCAAGTTGACCTCATGCGCGCCCAAGACGGCCCCAGGTAGGGCCCAGCATTGCCCAGGAGGGGTCCAAGACAGCCCCAATCTGCTCCAAGAGGGCCCCCGAAGGGGCTTCAGACGGCCCACGAAGGCCCCGAGACAGCCCAACAAGGCCCCCCACGAAGGCCCCGAGACAGCCCAACAAGGCCCCTAACCCCCCCTCGGAGGAGCTCCAGACGGCCCAAGAGGCCCCCAAGATTGCCCAGGGGGGTCAGACGGACCCATAAGGCCCCAAGACGGCCCAAAAGGCCCCCACGACGGCTTCAAAACTGCCCCAAGAAGCCCCGAAGAGAGGCCCACTCGCGAACCTGCAATAGTACGACCCTATGATCTATAATACATACACATTCCGCTTCGAATATTCTCATATTGGCAACTCACCCCTGGACCCCCCCCTACATACATTTTTCCCCAGGCGCTCCCATCGCCAGAAACTTGCGCTTTGAGTTCCGGGTGTCCCTCACAGCTTTCTTCGACCGCCCGGGCGGGACTCAGATCGCTTCTCGACTAGGCCCAAGACTGTTCCAACACTCTTAAGATCGCTTCAGGACGTCTTGAGGACGTCTCCACAGGCCCGCAAGAGATCGTATGACAGACCCAGGATATTCCCACGAGTGCCTCAAGCGCTTGAATATGTTTTTTTGCTACGTCTTGCATTTTTCAACGTTCCTGCTCTTTGGAGCTTTCGACCGCCCATTAGTCAAACGCCTTCCGAACCTCTCGCTTTATATTCAGCGATACATCATACATATGGTGACGTATATGTGTATGCATATATGTATCGGTATATGTATATATATATATATATATATATATATATGTATATGTACATGTATATGTAGATGTAGATGTCCATGTCTATGTATATGTATATGTATATTATACGTATATGTATATATACACACCTACATCTAAATATCCACGTCGCCAGCGGGGCGTCTTCACCGCTTTGTGCCCAAAATGGGCCTGGCCAGGAGCGATGTGTCTGTGTAGATCTCACCGCCCTGTCTTGTCCTTTCGGGGGCCGCACGCTACTGGCAGAGTCCCGACAGGCTTCGCGGGGTGGCGTGGAGCAGGTCCAGGCCGTCCCGCCTGGGTGCACGTCGGCGCGGCGCATGCTGCTGCTGCTGCTGCTGCTGCTGCTGCTGCTGCTGCTGCTGCGCATGCTGGGCTCCCGCCTGGGTGCACCAGGGCCTGGTTTTCCCGCGATTGTCGTCCTCCCATCTCTCCTCCTCGTCCTCATCACTCGTCGCATTTTGGCTCCAACGTTCGCACGGCGCCATCGTCTCGCTGCCCCGTCGCCTCGCGTCGGTGCTGCTGCGGGATGGCTGCGCCTCGAGGGGCTCGCGTGCCGCCGTCCGTCGCCGCTGTCTTGGTGGAGGCGGCTGTCCGTGGCGCTGTCCTAG